TCGTGTCGTCNACACACACACACACACACGATAAGAACCCCTGACTTGTTTTATACATGCAAACAAATATTCATGACCTTCAGTGTGTGTGTGTGTGTGTGTGTGTGTGTGTGTGTGTGTGTGTGTGTGTGTGTGTGTGTGGCAGCAGGAATGTTAAAGTGAGATTTTGCTCGCCGGTGTTTCCTTGAAAGATGTATCTGTGTGTGAATGTTATTTTTCTATCTTATCTTCAAGGACATAAACATCTACTGTGGTGATGTGTGTGTGTTAGTTAGACCACATATTGCCAGTTTGACTGTTCTGCCACGCTTTGAAGCAGGTCTATCCTGAAAGGGGTTAAGTTCAGAGTAATTGACGTAACAAGAGAGAGGACACTCATGACATGATTCATGAATTTTCAGTGTTCAGGTGTATATCAGTATGTAGTGTCTCTACTTTAAAGAGTCCTCTCCTGCTGATGTTCAGGTGTATATCAGTATGTAGTGTCTCTACTTTAAAGAGTCCTCTCCTGCTGATGTTCAGGTGTATATCAGTATGTAGTGTCTCTACTTTAAAGAGTCCTCTCCTGCTGATGTTCAGGTGTATATCAGTATGTAGTGTCTCTACTTTAAAGAGTCCTCTCCTGCTGATGTTCAGGTGTATATCAGTATGTAGTGTCTCTACTTTAAAGAGTCCTCTCCTGCTGATGTTCAGGTGTATATCAGTATGTAGTGTCTGTACTTTAAAGAGTCCTCTCCTGCTGATGTTCAGGTGTATATCAGTATGTCCCAAATAATCGAGATTATGATTTTTGCCATAATCGAGCAGCCCTAGTGTACGGTCGGTCAAACTTCCTCATAGGACTTTGAATTTGGATTAGCCTTATTTTAACTCCAGATGAACCCCAACCCTAAACCCTAATCTTGCCTGGTCTGGGGTTTAAAGAGACTGGATCTGGACGGGACCCAAACACAGTTTTGTCTGAAAGGAGCTGAGTGTGCGGGACATATGTCTGCCGGCTGATAATCAGGCAGTGTTCACTCTCAATGGTCCTCTGTTCACATTCTGCCTCACTTTCTGCTCCCATGGGAACACACTGCAGCACTGTGAGTGTGTGAGTGTGTGTGTGAGTTTGCATTCATTCAGACTCTGCTCTCAGATTTCAGACTTTAACATAGGTCAGTGTGATTGGCTGGGCCTCCTGCAGACTCAGTATGGTGCCCTGTGATTGGCTGAGGGATCTGCCGGTGTCCTGCTGTCTGACTGCAGGATGTTTTGGAACCACGATGAAACTCATAGCTTTTATTTCCTGAGTTTTGTTTATTCGAGGCCTTCTTTTAAGGGAATGTAGGCTCATTTAAGCATTTACACATTATTGTACAGGTAACCCTACAGTTCAGTTTGTTGGATGCTGTTTTGTTCATACCTGAAATTCAGTGTGTTAATTATCTCCCTTCTTCACATCTATTATACTAAACAAGAATCAACATAACTCATGTCCTTTATTGGGAAACCATCAAAGTAGAAGATATTTTCCTTTAAAAAATATTGAAATTCATTCCTGATTGAGTGTCAAGGGCACCTGTGATGCAGGTTATATATTTTTAGGTAGAACTTTTTTTCCTGTCAAAAATAATAAACACAATGGAGACTTTAATTCTGGTTGTACACGGAATAACTCTTTGACACTCAAAAGTGTCAGTGAGAGAGGAGGAGGACTGTGTGTGTAAGACAGGCCGAACATATCAAACATCTGTTTCCACTAACAGATAGAGACACACACACACACACACACAGGAATGTGATAGATGTGTGTAGACCTGCTCTGGATAATAACAAATTAAAGATTTATTCCTGAACTGACTAACACACACACAGTCCAGACAGATAGTGTGTGTTTTCAGACTTCAACCCAGGGGAACACAGCTGTGGACTGATATGTGTGTGTTTGATATAATGTCATTTTTTGTTTGCTGTTCCTACATTTTCTTATAATTTTTTGGCATTAGTCAAACCCGAAAATGTGTCCACCGCCATCTTGTGTTTTAGTCTTCAATCAGACACTGCTTTATAATCTATGTTACTCTAAATGGGACCATCATTTACCAAATGAACTTCGTAATTTATTGAAAAACACTTGAAACTAGTAATTGAGAATATGAAACGTTCCCGGTTTTGTGTGTGTCTCTGTCCGTGTGTGTGAGCCTCTATGAACTCTGTTATGAATTCTTGTCATATCTGGACCTTGACTTCCCATGATGCATTGACAATTGTTCTGTGTGTTTCTGTGATTTATGAGAGTGATGCATTCACACGATGATACGAAGAATGAAGCACCTCGCATGATGTTCAGGATGCACATTCCTGTGTGTGTGTTTTTTGTTTTTTCAACCAAATGGTCTGGCATGTGTGTTTCCTCAGGTTAAGGTCATGCTGAGCGGTAATTGGGTGTGTTTGTGTTATTGACCTACAGAAAGACATCCCGTCAATACCTTAGTTCTCCACACACACACGCACGCACGCACGCGCGCGCGCGCACACTAACAATCGGCTGTGTGATGTGGATTCAACAGTATCCTTGAAAGTAATTGAAGACATTGACATTGAGTTCTGCTTAGCTGTTTGTGTGTGTGTAATGCACCCACTGACGCTGGCCCTTACAAAAAGACTCTACTAACCAGAAAGAAAACCTTCTGAGTATTTGTCGTTGGTGTGTGCCTGTAGGAAGAAGGTTTTAGAGTCAAGGGTTTCCCCCTGATAGCTCCAGCGTGTTTAGTGTGTCTGGCTCCGTGCAGGCGTCCATGTTTCTCTCTTCAGATAACTCTCAGGTTTTTGGCGGCGTGTCGTCGACATATTTCTGCTTCCACTGTGATACGAGGAATCCTCCATAGTGTGTTTGTGCCGAGTGATAAAACTGCTGAATGCCAGATAACAATCAAGCTATTGTCCCTCTACACACACACACACACACACACACACACACACACACACACACACACACACACACACACACACNCCAGAAACAAAATTGTCGACCTGCACCAGGCTGTGAAGACTGAATCTGCAATAGATAAGCAGCTTGGTGTGAAGAAATCAACTGCGGGAGCAATTACTAATAATTGCTCCCGCAGTTGATTTCTTCACACCAAGCTGCTTATCTATTGCAGATTCAGTCTTCACAGCCTGGTGCAGGTCGACAATTTTGTTTCTGGTGTCCTTTGACAGCTCTTTGGTCTTGGCCATAGTGGAGTTTGGGGTGTGACTGTTTGAGGTTGTGGACAGGTGTCTTTTATACTGATAACGAGTTCAAACAGGTGCCATTAATACAGTTAACAAGTGGAGGACAGAGGAGGCTCTTAAAGAAGAAGTTACAGGTCTGTGAGAGCCAGAAATGTTGTTTGTTTGTCGGTGACCAAATACTTATTTTCCACCATAATTTGCAAATAAATTCTTTAAAAATCAGACAATGTGATTTTCTGGATTTTTTTTTTCTCATTTTTTCTCTCATAGTTGAGGTATACCTAGGATGAAAATTACAGGCCTCTCATCTTTTTAAGTGGGAGAACTTGCACAATTGGTGGCTGACTAAATACTTTTTTGCCCCACTGTATATGCAAAGGGCTTAACTGTTAATATTAGATGTTAATTGAAATGTATTAATCCATCTCTCAATGTCTATATTACATATTTATGAGACATTTACTGTATTTATATATTTCCTTTACCATTAAAACCAGCTGGAATATACAATATATTTTTCAAACTTCAAAGTGTCTGACATTTATAATAACCTCAATAACTAAACATACGCCTGGGACCAAAGCCTTTCTCAACATTATAGTGTGTGGTTTATTCTATTGTGTTTGGGTAAGGAGAGTATTTTAAATTAATTCATTGTTCAATTGAATGTTTATTCCAGCCAATGTGGTTTAATGTATTTCACTCAGTAATCATAATGTCTTTGCTCTGATGTATCAGTACAAAGTGTGTTTCAGGTGGACTGCAGGAGAGCTTGGAAACATTGTCTTTGTAGTGACATTTCCACAGTTAGAACCATCACAGCTCATGGGTCACTGGTTCCTCTCCACCTCTCCCATTCATTTCTCCTCCCTGAAGATCAAGACTCACTTTGTTGTCCTGTACTGTAGATACCCCTCCCTCCCTCCCTCTCTCCCTCCCACTTACCTCTGAGGGAGCAGTGTTGTCTGTAGGTTTCTCTGATGGCCTCTAGCTGAGAATATCTCTCCACCAGCACCTCCTTCTCTGACTCCACACGGGGCTTCATGTCCAGGTTCTGCTCAGCCAGGCTGCGGTTTGAGGCCAGGGCCATCTCTCTCTCCAGCTGGATGTTCTGGATCTGAAGGGAAAAGGAAAGGCATAGGATTATGGCAGTTTTACTTTTTAGGATATTTCTAGATAGCACTACATTTACTTTTGCATTGCAAATAACAGTATGTAGTGTGTACAACTGGGTCAATATCACAACATTCAAACGTTCTGTTAACAGGGCGCTTCTCCTTATCTGCTGCAAAGATCAGAACAGGGGGTGTTGTTTGCATGCTGTACAGATGTATTTTGGGTTTATCTTCTTCTAAGAAGTAGCAGTTCATACGTGAATGGTGTGGAAGGTCTTCAGTCTGTGCAAATTGTAAGAGGTGAAAGAACAACCTTAAAAACAAAATTGGAAATCAAATAAAGGTCGAGCAGCATATTGCCAATAGCAAACTGAAAAAAACGTCTAAATCTGATGTAGCAGCCTATTATGTTTATTGTTGGCATGTCAATTTGTTTTGTTGATATTTATAATGCAATTTTATTTTTCACACTTCGTGGCGGGGATTAGCTGCACAGGGTTAGCCAAGAGGAGAGCCACAGGAAAAGCTGCAGGGGGAGAATGTAAACTATTGTTCTTTGTACTTCTGATATCGGATCAACGGTATAAAGTCCACATAAAGTACGTTCTTGTCTGACTGGATCATTCCCCGAGTACGATTTGCTATCTGGTGCCTCAGCGGCAGTTTTACTTTTGATTTAATTTTTGGTTTTATTTCTTTATGATTTTTGCTGCTACATCTGATATATTACACAAATACAAACGGTGATTAAGGGTATTGGGTTTTATCCAGAAATACAGGATGGCTTGCAAAACACATTCAAAAATGTGTAAACTAATCTATAGATCTGACTATAATTAAATGTTTTGGTAGGCAGGCTAACTTTGATATTGTATCATTATACAATGTTAAACTAAAGGGGCCTTACTCACAGCAGAAGTAACTGGAGCAAAGTAACTGTATGAGCAATGTATTACTTTAAGTCTCAGCAGTGCCTGATTTATCACATCACATCATATATATTATCACATCATATATACTATCACATCTTATGTTCACTTCTGTGCCAGCAGCGTGAGCCAGATGTTGCCGTGCACTTACAGTGCCGCAGTAGGATGCATTATAAGTGTTAATTTACTAAAAATAAAACATGATTTTGTGTAAGCAGCAAGTGGTTTTAAGATTCAAAACAATATTTAAGATGATAGGTGCTGGACAGAAGAACATTTAAAGTAAGTAAAAATAAACTACACGTTAGATAATGCTTTGAGGAAATGTTTATAACCCACTGTCTTTAAGATATGAAAGATAGCCTGCTTACTGAATTGTACTATTTCTTTTTTTAGATAAAAAAAGCAGCGTGTAGCTTATATTCTATTGCATAAGAATGCCTTCAAGCAACACATTTATTTAAAGGAATACTTCAATGTAATTGAATTTGGATCTCCTCGTGTCTTTGACAGGGCAATGATATTAAAACCCGTTTCATTTCAACATTCACAAAGCCTGGATTGAATGTACACAGTATGCTTGTCCATGTTTTTGAATGGTCATATTCATATAACTCAGCCCTTTTTATGTGAACACACTCATATCCAGACTAAGAAACCCTGGCTTGACTAACCAAGTTGATAACTACCATCGTAGTACAGTTTAGCAGGATTGCATTTTTTAGGGTTAATGAAGCCAGATAGCACAAAGATATCCTGGGTATACTATGTTGAACTGTGAGCGGTCTTTATTTCAAGTGCAGGGTGTGTGAAGGAATACAACTAAAAGGGCCACACACTTACATAAGTAGGTGTCCATTACAAAAATATTTTTGAACATTTCTCCACAGTGGTTACAAGGGAAAACATTATTTACTCACTCCCCCCTCCAATACTGTCCAGTCACTTCGGGGTTTGAAAAACAACAAGCAGTTTTTTTTATTAGAACTGCATTTTGGATGATTTGTGTTTTTTTTACAAACACTCTTAACATATTTAAGAAGTAATTAATCAAATCCCCTCTCCATAAATTCGTTCATCTTAGCTCGAGCTTATTTGAAAGCTATGACATACTGTATTGTAAAAATGGAAGCCTTATATCATGTAAATCCCCACTTTTTACCTCGTCAGACTCCAGAGCCATAGACTCTACCCTCTCCGGGTTGTCCAGGAGCTCCTGGAGCTCCGATTGGCTCAGGTCCTGGAGCTTCTCCATCTGATTTGCCAGGATGGCTGTCCGTCATAAAGGAACCAGGAAATAAGAGTTAAAAACAATGTTTTGAAACGGAAAGTGATAGTCAAAGGCCCAACGTTTGTATTGTAACGCTACTAACCTTTAATAGACAACAATTAGCAATGTACTAATCAAGACATTGATAACAAATCAAGACAAAACAGACCCTGTCCCCTGCAGCCACTCCCTTAATAAAATAGCAACCGATACCTAACGTTATATGACAGACGTCGGCAATTCTGGTCAAAAGTAAACGCTGGTGATTTCGAATGCTACATACCGTACACTGTTTGTTTACTTTATAGCTTTTATTTAAAAAGCATTCATTCAAACTATCGAGGCAAGTGACTGCAGGCCACGAACTGAACAGGCTGTTCAGACGAACACTGTGGACAGCAGAGCAACAACACGGCGGAAAATAAAGTGGTACTTACATGACGTTAGCAAACCCAGTTCAGCCTGACACTGACTGCTGGTGACATCCAACACCACCTCGGTATTTCCACTGACAGCTGACGTGACACGTCCTCAGAATCTCCGACCAGCCCTAACTCAATCCCGCTGAACGGAATGCTATAGAGTCCTTTTTCGACGCACTTAAACCGGCAAGCCAGCTAATTCCTCGGCCGACATGCAGTCCGCCCTGACGGCTTAGCTTCAGTGATCTGATGACAGCAGTCCGTATGAATCCAATGTCAGGCACTGACACTCCGAGGGAAGCACAGCAATTCCGCGACGAAAAACGGAGTCAAGAATGTCGCCACTCGCTCCTGACGAAAACTATCCAACGCCTCTGTATTCCGGTAATGCTTACTGTAGTAAACAGAAGAGTTCAGTCGACCTATAACGACAGAAAATGACCAAATGTTGGCTAAAAATAGGAAAGTTTCACCTCACACTGACAGAAACGGCTGCCATTTTAGGAACCATCGACGTTCCACGGTTTGGGGGGGGGGGG